ACGTTTCTTGGGTAATCGTGGCGGGAAATTTTTACACATATGAAAAACATTTTTTAATGATTCGTAAACAGCAAATTTTTTTACAAATATTATTCCAATCAACAGGGATTCGAACCTCACACGGGTGCACAAAGTACACAGACTTAACCCACTCAGCCAGAGCCCATACTTGATGGATGGCGAAGGTTTCCCAAATTTCCTGCTGTGGACCGAGAGAAAATGTTTGTAATAGTTAACTAGATAATTGTACTATTATAGCTTACCGGAAACTTACATACATACATACTTGCCGTGCGTGGGAAGGCAGCGGGGGCAGGTGGAGTCATGGACGAGTGTTCCCCCAGCTGGGGACCAGCTCGCCGCCTCCGTCACCGTTTCTGTGCCCTCCCCTCCTCCCAGGAACGGTGGACTCTTCTGTCAGGTAATTTAATTCCTCTGTAACATTTGTTATGTATTATAGAACATTTGTTTTAATCACTTGTGACGATGGTTTGTATCACAATTTTTCTTAAAGGGGATAATTGGGCAGAGTAATCCCAAAGGGAATTTTTCTCACAGGGAATGGAGTTTATTGTCTACTTCTAATTTTACTTCTTATTGATAAATAAATTAAATTAAATATATATAATATAAAATTTTAAAAAATAAAATTTAATATATATAAAAATATATATATATATTTATATTAAATTTTTCAAAAAGTCAGCCGTCTCCCACCCGGGCGGGGTGACCCCCCCCAAAAAAACCCCAAAAAAGGGAAATACTTTTCACATCATTAACACTTTCACTCCTCACAAAAAATCACTGTTTTTCAAGGCCCAAAATACAACATTTTAGAAGCATATACGTAAAAATACAAAAAATTTCCCCCCCCAAACGCCAAATCCCGAACCCCTCCTTTAGAGTGCGGGCTTTGTATTTCCCCATTTCCAGGACTCAAGCCGCTATAAAAAAAAACCGGTTTTTCCTAAACCCCTTTCACTAAATATTACCCGCTCACACCCAACAGATCCGTCGGGCCCAAATACCATTCGTCTCCTTAAACCCTACTAACGCTCAGCACGTTTGCGGGAAGCCAAACCCTCGCCACAAAACCTCCTTTACCCCTCCCTCCAAACCTTTTTCGAGGACGACCCCTACCCCGCTCCCTTCCCCCCTACAGATTTTATGCTCTCCAACTCATTCTATTTTTTATCCATTCTCTAAAAAGCCCAAAACTCAACAAACCCCTTTCCCCTGACAAATACTTTTTTTTAAACCCACACCTTTCCTTTTAATTTCCACACCCGGGGAATTTCGCTAAATTTACACCACACTTTCCCCCTTAGACAGGACATCCCCACTGCCTCCAACGCCCCTCGCTGCGCATTTAAAACCCCAAGCTTCACCCCAAAAAGAGTTTTGGGTACATTTAACTTTCTACATTCCCTTCTTGCCTCCTTTGAAAAATTTTTTTGTCTCCACAATACCCAACCACCACTCACTTTTTTCCTTCATCAATTCTAGGCTAACCTCATCCTTCATAAGCCCACCGCTGACAATCAGCTCCCAAAACTAAAAAACATTCCTTCTTCCAACTCCCCCCCTCCAATTGATTTTCTTTTTTTCTTTATCAAAACATTTGATACCCCTTTCCCCTTTACCTTTTTTATGTTACTTAAAACTTTTTACCTTTTACACACACTCCCAAACTCACCAAAACCCTTTTGCAATTTTCTTTGCCCCTAACACAGTACATCACAAAAAAAACTGGCAATTCCCATTTTTTTTGATTCCCCATAATTTAACCCCACACCTCCCCCCCACCACTAGCTTTACTTTTTTTACACCCCATCATAAATAATTAACAACCATGGTGACTTTTACACATCCCGTCTAAGACCACTTTTTCCCGGGGAAGTATTCCCCCTCTTTTCTACACACCCAAACCCTAGCCTCACTATCCTCAAAAAACTTTTTACAACATTTAGTAACTTACCACCATTCCATATACTTGCAACTCTGCAACATTGCCCCCCTTTCCACTCTACATATGCCTTTTCAAAATCAATAAATGCAAAAAAACCCCCCTACCTTTTCTAAATACTTTTTCACATAATCTTCAATGTAAACACTTGATCTACCATCCCCTACCCCCTCTAAAAACCTCCTTTCTCATCCGCAATCCTATATTCTGTCTTGCCTCTAAATTTTTTCAATAATAACCCTTCCATCACTTTTCCCGGTATAGTCAGTAAACTTATTCCTCTATAATTTTTTACAATCTCTTTTTCCCCCTTTGCTTTGTATAAAGGGAAATATACACGCTCTCTGCCAAACCTTAGGGACCCTTTCCCCCCTTTCTACATTTATTAAAAAAAAAATACCAGCCACTCCCCAACCATATCCCCCCCTCTTTTAACATTTCGTCATATCCCATCAGTTCCATGCTTTTACCCCCCTTTTTCATTCAAAGAAGCCTCAAGCACCCCCCCCAAACTCACATCCTCTCTTCTTCACTCCCAAAAAGGCAACCCCCTGGCCAGTCATGAAATTTCCACCTCCCCCTTTTTTTTATTTACATTACAGTTCCTCAAAATATTCCCCCCACTCCCAAAAACCTCCATCCCCCATCTACTAACTCCCCCTACTATTTTTTAACTGACAAAAATTCATTCATTCTCGAGGGTTTCTCAATTTTCTCATCGACTAAAAAACTTTTCTATTTTCATCAAAATGTCTTGACAGGCCTCTCCCACCTATCATCGCCTCCTTTTGAACTCTCTCACCCCTCTCTTCACCTTTCTTTTTCTCTCCATAACCTACTCTTCTTAACACTTTTGCTTTTTAAAAACACTCATAAGCTAACTTTTTCCTTTTATCACACCCTTTACTTCATCATTTCCCCCAAACCTCCCTTTCCCCTGCACCCACCCCCTATAACCCAAAAATTCTGCCCCACATTCCCAAAATGCATTTTTTAAAAAAATTCCAACCCTCTTCAACCCCTTCCCCTTCTACTACTCATACTTTCACCACCCCCTTTTTTTTTTTTGCCAATAGTTCTTATATCTCACCCAAACTTCCTCCCCCAAGTTAACACTTTCACCTCCCCCCTTACTTTCTGTTCCACTTTCCCTTTTTCCCCTCTACCCTTACTCTAACTGTAGCTACAACTAAATAATTTATCCATATATAGTTCCTCTCTATAAACAGTACATCCTGAAGCCTACCCATCAAACCTTTTTTTCCCCTCAAAACATAATAATCAACAAAAAACTTCAACCCAAGTGCTCTATCCTATTTTCAAAAATAGTATTACTTATTACCAAACCCTTTCTACACAAGCTCAATTAAAGGGCCCCCCTTTTCCTTTACCCGGGGCCCCAAATTTTCCTACCCCCCTCCACAAAATTTTTTTACCCATTTTACATTGAAACCCCCAACCACAAGTACTCCTCCTTGTTTAAAAATCCCCCCCGATTCACTCAAAATTTCCAAATTTTCTCTCTCTCCCCACCTTCTCTCTTCAGGTCAAAATGCTTTCTAAACCCACTTTTCACATCCAACCCCTTTTTTTACCCCAAACCTTGATTTAATATTTTATTCCCTCTTTTCCTGCCATAACTTACCTTCAACATTACGCTATTTTTTTTTTTAGCTTTAATCATTTGAAACCCCTTTACCAAAACCCATTTATTCCTCTTTATGAAACCTCACCCTTCAACTTTGTTTCACTTAACAGACTCCAGTTCTTCTCATTTATAACATCCAAACACTCTTTCTTATCATCGCACAACATCCACGCACATTCAAACATCCCACTTTGATGGTTTTTTTCTTTTTCTTTCAACAAGTATCAGGAGAAGGGTTACTAGCCCATTTTTCCCCGGCATTTTATTTGATTTTTCAACATGCAGGGGGTTACGGGGGAAAAGATTCTTTTTCCCACCCCCCTTACAAAAAAGGAAAAAAATAAAACAAAAATTTTTAAGATAAAACAAATCAAACTCAGATGATGTGTATACATAAACTTGTACATGTTTTTAGTGTGACCTAAGGAAAGTAGAAGTAGCAAGACATCCCTGAATCTTGCAATTTAGAACAGACAAAAGACCCAGCAACCCTCCTCATGTAAAACATTACAGGCTTTCGTTTTACACTCATTTTTGGCGGGAGGGTAGCACCTTCCTGGGGCGGTTGCTGTCTCCCAACCTACACCACACACACCCACACACACACACCCCAAAACACACACAACACACACCACAAAACACACCACACACCACACACACACACACAACACAAAACACACCACAGGACAGGCAGGACTTCAAAGAACCTGGACAGACTGGACCCCTGGTCCAGAAAAGGGCTTCTCGAATTTAATCCTGCCAAAATGAAAAGTCATGAAGATAGGGGAGGGCACAGAAGACCACAGACGGGTATAGGCTGGTGGCCAAAGTGAAAACCTCACTCAAGGAAAAAGATTTTGGGGGTGAGTATACCCCGAGATGTTCCGGAAACCCATAAATCGTAACTCTGCAGCATATGGGCCCTGGCAAACCTGAGAACAGCATTCCGATACCTTAGAAAGGAAATCGTTCAAAAACACTGTACACCGTGTATGAAAGGCCCCATACTGGAGTTGCAGCCCCTGTTTGGAACCCGCACTTGAAAGCCCAAAAAAACTAGAAAAAGAACAAAGGTTTCCCCAAAAGGTTAGTTCCAGAGCTAAGGGGAATGTCCTTGAAAAAAGATTAAGGAAATCGGCCTGACGAAACTGGGGGACAGGAGGGTCAGGGGAACATGATAACAAATAAAAAATACTGCGTGGAATACACAAGGTGGACAAAGAAGGGGTCCAGGGAGGGGAACAAAACAAGAGGCCAAAATTTGGGAAAATTGAAGACCAAATGATCAGAGAGATTTAGGAAGTATTTTTTTCAGTCATGATTTTAAGGCAGTGGAATGCCTAGAAAATGACGTAGGGGGGCGGAAACCATACACATTTTAAGACGAGGTTTGTTTAAAGCTCAGGGACGGGAGAGAGGGGCCCCCATAGCAACCGGGAAGGGGGGGGCCCCGGAGCAAAGACTCGCCCCCTGAATACAAATAGGTGAGTAAAAATAGGTGATACACACTTAATAAACTAGTGGCAGGACAAGCTTTTAAGGGCAACATTGTAAGTAGGTGGGGTCAAGCCCCAAGAGGGGGGGTCAAGTAAAAGAAGTTGGGGTCATAAAGGACCACTGAGATCCACTTTACCCCGCACAAGCTCTCCCTCAACAACAACACACACACTCTCTCTCTCTCTCACACCAACCAAACACACACACACTTCACTCACCACACACACAACACACACCACCACAAACACACACACACACCACACCATTCAGGCCCCTTACCCCGTGTATGTTGGGGCCCATATGGATATGG